TATTTATTTGACAGAGAGAGAGACAGCGAGAGAGGGAACACAAGCAGGGGGAGTGGCAGAGGGAGAAGCAGGCTCCCCGCTGAGCAGGGAGCCCGATGTGGGGCTCGATCCCAGGACCCTGGGATCATGACCTGAGCTGAAGGCAGATGCTTAATGACTGAGCCACCCAGGCGCCCCATCAACTGCTGATTTTAAAGAATTAACAACATATTAAATTGAGCAATGAATTTTCCCATATGAAAGGTGATAAAAAATGGGATGAACTTATTCATCTTGTAGCACAGAACTGCGCCTGAGGTGGTGTGGTGTCAGTTAAGGTGGGACTAGGGTATGCAGGCGAAGCTTTCAACTATCTCAAGAATATGATCCATGTAGTCACGCAATAGAAACTCCCGTTGAAAGAGATTTAGTAGCCATTTGAATTTTCCATACCACAGGAGTTTTTGCCTATTTGTAAACTTAAATACAGTTGACATCTCTAACAGATAAATTTCTGTAACAGCAAGCTTTTTACTCCCTCTGGGGTATTTCTGGCTCAGTATGTACAGTTACTGTAGCTTCACAGGAAAAAAAACCAAAACCAGCAAATGTTCACAACTTGGAACTTGGAACAAAAGAAAAATGAAATGGAAATTTTGCTATAAGATAAATGAAACTCAGTGGGTAGGTAGCTAATGAAACCTTTTCAGGGTGTGTGTCTCATTCTCCTTCTAGCTCCTTGACTGACCCACGGTAGACATCGTAAGTGGTTTCTATGGCACAAACAACTAATCCAAAATGAATGAACACAGAAAAGTCCAGAGAAGTCAATAACCTAATGCTACCTACGACAGATTAAAGTAGTCCCAAATCCTTGACATACATGCCATCAAGTGGTATTTCCTCTCCCCCTTGAGTCTGGGCTGACCAGTGACTTCTCTGACCAACAGCGTATGGGGGTGACTCTATGATAGTTCTGAGCCTGGCCTTGGAGGCCTGGCACCATCTGCCCAGCTTCTTAGAGGCCTGAGCTGCCATTTAATAAGTCTGACTGCCCCGACGCAGAGACCACATGGGAAGTCCCTGAGACTCCAGAGGGGGAGAGGAGGCCTGCTGAGCCCCAAGTCTTCTAGCCCTCCCGCAAGGTGTCAGGCACGTGAGATCAGCGCAGACACTCCAGACCAGTCCAACCACCTACTGAATACAACCAGGTGACCTCAGTCATCATCACAGGGAACAAGAGAATTGCCTAGAGGAGCCTTTATTTCTGATTCACAACATCACAAGATATATAAAATTGTTTTAGGTCACTATAGTTTAGGGCAGTTTGTTACAAAGCTAGATATACAAGATGCTATCTTTCAATTTTTGCCTTGGTGGTAACCTGAACTGAGTCACAGTTAGATCTATCAAGTGGGCGACTCCTGAATCAATGGTCAATACCTCCAGAAAATATTCACCATTCAACATCTGCTCAGAGACACTATCTTTTGAAGAAATCTTCCAATCATGCTTTCTTGAGTTAAAAATCCACTGAAAGCAGTACTGTTACTGGCTATTCTTTATTCCAGGTCACCCCAACTCTTTATAAGTAAACAGAGTCAATATGATGTAGTGGAGAGAGTCTGGGCTTTGGAATCAGATTGGAAAATACTGGGTCTGCAATTTATTCACTGTGTAACCCTGGGCTCCTCAGTTTCTTCACCTATAAAATGTGATATAATTACGCTTCTTAAAGGCAACATAGTCTAGTAGAGTATCAACTCTAGGGTCAGACTGCCTGGGTTAACCTTTCTGTGCCTCAATTTCTATTTCTGCCTCTCTAAAGGGAGGAGAGTAACAGTGTCTACCCAGACGGGACTGCTGTAAGGATTAGGTGAGTTAGCCAATGTGAAACACATGGATCCGTGCCTGGCACATAGTAAGCATTCAAAAAAACTCTCAACCATTTTTAGTTCTACTGTTATTAACTCACAGGATTATTCTGAGGATTAACTGCAATTATGCCACTAAAGCATTTAGGACAGTTAATTCTGTCCCCTTCTCTTTGATCTCTGTGGTGAAAAGTGCAGGCTTTTAAAAAGCGTACATCCAGACTCCAACCAAGTGGATTCAGGACTCTCAAGTATAGGAAGCCACATCTAAACTATGTCTAAAATCAATTTTGTTATATAAATTCCAAGCATGCGGTCAGGTACCAAAAAGTACTTAATATTTACTTTATGGAACAGATTCTCCTGTATGCTACTTATCACTTAAGATAAGTGATTTCACAGAATAGGAAACATTTTCCCACGAGAAACTCTGACTTTTGGCATCATGGATTAATGCAAATTCTAAGATTCACAGTATATTAAATTGTGCTGTTGTCCATGTAAGATGCTGCACATCTATCTCCCTTAACTGGATGGTGAATTCTAGCCTCCTCAACAGGACTTACCAGTGGACATGAAAGAAGCAAGCATTAGAAGAGTTTTATTTTTCATGAATTGTTCTGCCTTTATACCTTAGCTCTGTTGCTTAAAGCTTCCACTATTTGAGTGAGCCAGCTCCTCTTAACTGTGTTAAGATGGGAAGTACTTGTTATATAGATAATGGGGAAGATGTGAGAGAAGACATTTATTCACGTATATACTCTGTGACGACACTATACATTTCAAGTAATAACTGCCTTTTAAGTCATTGCTGTTCCTCGCAGTTGAGGGATACGGTAGTCTGCCTATACAAGAAAACTGGAGAGTCTGTGCAGATATCCTCCGAGTTTTAATACCACTGTTGCTGTCAGTAATTACATCCTTTGGAATGTAACTAAGTCAGGTGTTTGAAGGGACTCATAATATCCAACTTTGGCCTGTCCTGAGCAAGAAACACCTACTTACTGCAAAGTAAAAAGACTGGTCTTGGGAAAAGCCTACCTAAAAATGAGAAGACTGAAAACAGAGAAACAGACTCTAGAAAGCAAAGGTGGCAAAACATAAGACTGGTAATTATCAAATAAATCATAATGCTGGGCAAACAACATTGTTTTCAACGCATTCGCATAGAAATGACAACTATTCCCTAGACCTCACACGGTGCTGGAGGCAGACGGTCCATCCGGCTCTCTAAATTCAATCACTTTCACAAGTTCTATATCTCAGATTAATCAGAATCCCAAATTTTTCAGAAAAGCAACACTCCAAAATCTCAAGAACCCTGTATTACTCTAAGTGTGCTATGACAAGGCAGTTCTAACCTAGGCAAATATTCTGGAACTTTATAGGTAAGGGTCATCTATTATTCATAGGGCATATCATATAAAACTTACTAATAACCAACTTAGAAAAAAGGAACTTTAAGAATAAAATGCCTAGTAGAGAGGTGCCTTACTGGAGGTGAGGTCACTCATCCGAACTTGGTATGTGTTGGTTGAGCTGACAACAAAGTATGAATCAAATTCATTGCATCGTGTCAGCATGGCCTAGAACATTTTGTCCTGATAAATTTAACTCAGAAGTCTATGCATGATTTCCAGATGGGGCACAATTATATTCTCCTCTTGCAAGGAATTCTGTTAATAATCATCCTAACATTTTCCATTTTTTGCACATCTGGCATAAATAAGCTATTTGAACAGTAAGAATGAACATTCAGAGAGCAAATAAATAATGGGTCAGTATATACTTAGAAAAATGATAGTAACAGAAATTGTAAGATGGGTCTAAGAGGAATTTGAAGTCCTCAGAGATTTCATTATGTTTTAAAACATTCATTGGGAAAAAAAAGATAAAGGAAGGGAAAAAGATTTGGCTTTTTACTACTCCACATGGAACAGAGTGAGTTTGAGGAAATGAAAATTTAGATTTGTAGTACAGGGAAAGGGTAGAGGTTTCTAATCTAGAAAGCAGTATTTTGGGTAAGAATCAAACCACTTATTCATAACAGAAGTTAATTTTTAATACTAATGGGAAAATTCATTCTTGCCATCATTATGCAAATCAGTTCAAGTGTTCTCAGAGGAATGGCAAAACTTATAAAAACATTAATTTTTTACAGTAGTTTATGTAAACATGGTACTCATTTAATCCTACATTATTATCACGGGAATTATTTTTTAAATTATTTTCTTACATCCGTAACTACTATCCTAAACTTTAATCTACCTGAACCTTTAAGGCAAGGACAGATCGTACGGCTATTCTAAATGCTTTTAAAGCAATGGGAATCAAGAAGGAACACAAAGAGGGTTATGAGACAAAGATCTAGAAAAAGATGGCAAGCTCTTTCAAGAAACTGATGCATACATGGCAACATGAATTTAAAACCTCAACCAAACTATTATAAAGACAAAATGGCAGGAGTGACAAATTTGGGGGTCATTCTTTCAAATCTAAATCTGGAGTTAGCAAACTTTTCTGTCAGGTGACAAACAGTGCATTTTCAGGCTTTGCTGGCCATGTGGTCTGAGTCACAAGCACTCCACTTTGCCATCACAGTAGAAATAACACCTGAAGAACAGGTGTGGCCCCATTCCACCATCACTATCTTAACACAAACAGATAGCCTCAGGATTGGGCCCTGGGGGCCGCAGTCTGCTGAACCCTTATCTAATTCATAAATTCTAGGGATATACTTTGCTAAGGGGCATCCTCTTGAACCCAGGAGTTTACCTGACGTAATAGCTTGGTGTCCCTTTTCTAAATCTCAGCAACTAAAATACTTCAATATTGTGCACCCTTCCGAAATGGCAAAGGTAAAGAGCCCCCGTTTTCAAAGACAAGTTCAATAAGGGCCTCTTTGTTATGCCTTAAACCAGTAAGGAGGAGAGCATCTGAGGAAGAGAAAACAAACAAACACCTGTCTGTTGGATCTGAAGAGAGAAAAACTTCCAGGATTCCAACCCCTTCCTGATTAAATGCCTTCCACTAGGATTAAGCAGACTGCTGTCTTTGTTCAATTTAATTTCCTTTCCATTATCCGTTGTTTTTATTTCTTTAAATTAGATCTTCTAGTCAAACAAAATATAATTTTTACTAGTTAAAAGAAATGAAATTTGTGTCAAGTAACAGCTAAAATTTTTTAAAGTTATTTCTTGATCAGAGACTACTCAGCTAAGGATGAAGTTCATTATTCAATACTCTTCCTTCAGACCACTTCCAACCAAGGCCAGATTTCAACTATGAAGGTGGGAGGAGAATGGTTTATTTCTATTGTCACAACATCTTTGGAAACTCTGTTTCACTGATATAGAGGGAACTGGAAACATTTAAAAATACCAAAAAACAAAATAACAAGAAAACTTTCCTCAACTGCTACCTCCCTTCTTTCCCAATCCTTATCCTTTAGGGACAAACTTCTTTTTACTTATTCAAGATTAGATTTAACTGTCTGGCATAATGATGGCTTGGGGGTAGTTGGCAAATTACATAAAATAAAACTCAACTCGGTTCAGAGGTAAATATGGTTCTGAGTAAAGAGAGAACAAGTCATTAGAAAGAGCCCTTCTGCCTAAGTACAGTGTTCCTGTTCATGCCAATGCTATATTTATATACTGGTATCAGAGTTCAGAGAGAATAAAAGGTACCTCTTAGAATGAAAACAGATTAATATACTGCCATCTCTCTTCTTTTGTTGAGAATATTGGGTAGCTCCTTTGCTATTAAGTGCCACTCGATGAATGAAAACGGTCCCAGTGTTTGCTATTTCATGGCATTAAAGTACTTAATGATAATTTAGCTCTCATTGCTAATGCAGTTCCCTTCACAAGGTGACATGTGCAAGTTAAGATTTGGTAATGAGTTTTCAGCATTAGCTAAAGTCCATTTAGTACATCCTTAAGAGAGGTATCCTCTGTGCACACACCAATACAACTATTCATTAATGTAGACAGAACACTACTAACTTCCATGACCCTACAGTGATGTTAACTAAGAACTAGGACAATGTCACAGTGAACCTGGATAAAAATCTTGGATAGTTATTTAGAATAATAAAAGCTTTTGTGGCTAAAATGGAAATTGCTTTCAGAAACTTGAATTTGTTTAAAAGCTAGCCTGGCTTGTATGTTCATGGATTTCATGGCTCTGGGCTAGGCCAATTAAGAGGCGAGAACCAGCAAATGTGCTGCTATGGTCCCAGAAGACCGGGTAGCACTCTATTCACAGTATCAATACAGCGAAAAACCTAGGACAAGTGAATGACAAGGGAGAGGGACCCACCAAACACTCACAGCATTTCCACATCTGCTCAACAGTCCCTACTTCGTTTAAGAGGTTTGTTGCTAATCCTGGCCAGAGGACTGACAGATGCTGCAGAGTTTCTCTTGACAAAGATTACTGCACTTCACCTTTACGATTTGGTAATAGTTTAAAAAAGCTCTATTTCCTCATGGAAAATCTAAGAAACTAACAAAGCATAAAGAACTTTCCAGCATACTACTTCTCACAAGTAGGGTGGACTTAACATTTTTTTGGTAGGCTTAAAAGCTCCATAGACAGCAGCAAATTCTGTACTTCTCACCTTCCTGCCTATTCAGTGATGAATCTGTCCACAGACAGCCTGGATGACCTACAAAAAGGTTTCCCTAAAGATTTGAGTCTAATTTCAAATCCACTTCTAGGCCACAGAGCATAGCTGGTCCCTAAGATGGCCCTATTGTGCTGTTGCCCAACTAAAGAGGAGAGTGCCCCAGTCTATGTCTCTGAAAGACAAGACAGCTTTGGCAGACCGTGTAAGGGTAGGCTCTTATCAAATGGTAGCATCATTACATTCCTATTAAAAGACGCATTTCTACATTTTTCCAGAAGAGAAAATAACCACTCTCCAGTGACACGGTGCAGCTTTATGGGTATGTACAATTCGCAGATTGCTTACAAGTTACTCTTTGCACTCTAACTTCCTATCATCAAAGAAATGCCATTCTTTCCTACCCACCTTTCCACTTACCACAAAGCATTCTCAGGAAGGGAGCACGCTACTAACATTCTCACAAATGGCTCACCAGTGCAGGCATGACCAGCCCCGCCCCCGCCCCAGATCTCTTTTACAATCATCTATGCTTCTGCACCAAAATAACTGCTTAAACCACTGCATATTTAAAAACTCTTAAAACATTAATGATCAACTAGGAGAAGCTATGGATTGTTCTCTTTTCTATTTGTACTGTAAGCATCTCCTTGCCCGCACCCCTTACTAATCCTCCTCTATTCTCTGAATGCGAGACAGGGCATCTAAAACTCTACATGTTTGGTAAATTTTTTCTGACTCTCAGTGCTGGATTAAGAATCTCAGAAATTCCCAGAATTACCAAAAAGGTCCCTTGAAGTTTTAAAAATCTTAGGAATGATTAAGTAACCAAACCTGATCAAAACTGATCCCTTGATCAATTTATTGCAACATGATTGTGCATGATGTTTTCTGGTGAATGCCCTGTAGTGTATTATTAAAAAGCAAAGCTCTTGGAGTCACCAGCAATTTGCTGATGGTGGGTTTATGAATTACTAGGTTTGCAGACGCGAGACATGGATTTAGTGAGGTTCTTCTATTGGCTTGAAAATATAAACTATCACATATGTAGAAGGAAATGGAATTGTGGTTGCAATAAGAACCATAGTGTTGAATTTCTTCAACCACAATACTGCAGAAAAAATGTGTTTAAAACTTCATATAAAAGTTATCAAATATGGAGACCTGTAGATTTAAAAATACAGTCCAGGCTCATTTCACTGGAAAGTGACATTTTTGATGTATAATATTGCTGTTACGTGAAAGGAGGAGCCAGAGAGACTGGATGAAACTTTGGTACTCAGCCTAACACATTAATTCATCTGGACTAGAGCCATTTCCTAACACCCAAAGATAATTAAGCACTGTGGTATAAAAACACCGACCAGGAAGTTGCAGTACTCTGCGCCATTTGAAATTTGCACAAAAATCCCACTTCCTTCCCTGCTCCCCTCTTCCTCAATAGGACACTCAAGCCCCCAAATGTAGCAGAACCTACTGCGAACACTCTGCTGCTCATTTCACTTCCAGTTGCCTAAAGTGCTTCAGGTGATGCTGCCCACGAGAACACCGCTCCAAGATGGCGGCTTACATGAAATAATCAGGCAAAGTATCATCAGATGCCTAATCAGAGCAAAGATAAGGTCTGACCTTTCAAAACAGTAAGAACCACCAGGATACTTTTTTTTTTTTTCTTCAAATGTGAAACTGCATGTTCTGGCAGGGAAGGAAGAGGAGAAATACCTCCTCCCTGTCACCATCACAACTACTTCCTTCTCTCTGGTGGCTGGCTGGTTCAGATGACCAAGGCTCCTGCTGTTTTTTAGATCTGGGCAATTACAGCCACCAGGATGATATGGACCAAAGTACAGTGTTCAAACATGACTGGTAGATAAATGACCATTTATCATCGTTTTGTTAAAAAATTTTTTTCTTATAAAGTTAACAAACCAAGGCTGTTGATCCCTGAATTAGAAAGTTGATTTGCTTGATTATTTTCCAAAGTATGAGGTGGGAAGGAGGAGGGGAAGAGCCTCTAGTGCTTCTGTGTATGTTGCTGATCCTCTAGTTTGGCAACATCTTGGGAGCATCTTCCGATCTAGTGATGTGGCATTTTGTAAATCTAAGTACCAGCCCACGGCCCTGATGCTGGCTGCTGACGGCCCAAAGGGGAAGAGGGTCTGCCCCCTCCCCCTCGATGTTTCAATCTGGCCCAGTGGTGGACACAGAGCCCTGGGCAGTTTCCCCAGGAGCAACTGTCTCTTCTTGGGAAGGTGACTCTTCCTCAGCTTGTCCTCGAGATGTGACAGTTGTTTCCGGGGAGATGCTGTGAGGCCCCTCCAGGGGTATGCAGCCAGGGTGGTTTTTGCGAAAGTGCTGATTCAGGATGGCCTGGAAGGGGAAACTTTTGCCACAAACATGACAGTGGAAGGGTTTGTTGCCTGTGTGCTTGCGGATGTGATACTCCAGCTGATCTTTCCGGGTATACTTCTTGCCACACATGCGGCAGACGAACGGCGTGATCCCCATGTGCAGGCGCATGTGGCGGTCCAGGCTCCCCTTCTGGTTGAAAGATTTGGCGCAGTAGATGCAGGTGAGACGGGGGTTGTACCGGAACCACCGCTCAGATACTTCTTGCTCTCGGAGATACTCCACATAGCCACTTACTCCCATCATTGCAGACTCTTCGACCTGTGCCAGGTGAGGAAAGCAAGAAAGAACACCTACGCTTAAGTATACATATTAAAAGAGATCAAATCTCTTTTTACCTCTCATACTAAGCCATATGCTTATTTTTAGGAGAGATCTGAACAGGAAATTAATTACTACAACAAAGTAAAGATGTTAAGATGGGAATTAAAAGAACAATCTGGGGACACTCTATTCCATTTCTTGAGAAGAGCAAGACAGTAGAGTTACTTGGGCTGACAAACGGCATGCTCATAAAACTCCTGCTGAATGTTCTATTTTACATGATAGGAGAACCTGAGGCCGTTCATACCATCCTCTTGGACTCTAGACAATTACATAGGTACCTAGGCAGTGCTGGGCCAATAGAACTTTCTGTGATGATGGGAATGTTCTGTAACCTGTTTCATCTCATATAGCAGCTCCTACCCATATGTAGCTCTTCAGCATTTGTAATATGGCTAGTGCAACTGAGGAACTGAATTTTTAATTTTAATTGCTTTCAATTAATTAAAATTTAAACTTAAATAGTCACATGTGACATGGCCAATGATAACAATACCTGATGGTATAGAATACATTATGTATGGCAAACACATCATAAATTCTATTCATGGCATTATCATTAATACCAAAATCTAATCCTGTAGTTACTACCTTTATAAAAGATAATACAATTTGTTAGTAACAGTATTCCTTTATTCAAAAATATTTTAGTGCCATATCAATATATATGATCTTCATTCTAAAGACTACTCAAATTGTAACTGACCTCAGAGCAAATTGGCAGAAGAGGTGGGAAAGGAAACCAGACTGAGATATGGATTTACTAACTTGGTTATTCCTTCCTGTACCCTTTTCACAAATTGATAATAAATATTTACTGACTATTGTCCACCAAATACAATAACAGATAACCACAGAGAAAGAAGTGTAAGACTTGGTTTCTGATTTTGCCCTCTGAATAAAAGATAAAATTTCTGAACAAAAACCAGACAAAGAGAAACAGGATCAATACACATTCCTAATGATATTGTTCATTCACTTTTCAAACTGCTTATACTAAAGGTTACCCTTGAAATACAGTGCACAGACATATTATCATCTGGCTTTATACACCTATTTGCAGTGGTTTTGAATTGATTTAAACAGATTATTAAAATAGAATAATCTGGGATGCCTGGATGGCTCAGTCGGTTAAGTGCCTGCCTTTGGCGCAGGTCATGGTCCCAGGTTCCTGGGATCGAGCCCCACATCGGGCTCTCTGCTCCGCGGGGAGTCTGCTTCTCCCTCTCCCGCTCCCCCTGCTTGTGTTGCCTCTCTCGCTGTGTCTCCCTCTGTCAAATAAATAAATAAAATCTTAAAAAAAAAGACAAAGATTATTTTTCTTAATATAATCAAACTACCACTACCACACCTCAAAAACCCAGTAATTCATCAATATCAAAGACCTTAATTTTGTTTTACCTAATATGAACATTAACAATGTAAAGTTTTTAATATATGAAATAAACAAGGGTTCCTTCTATCTGAAAGCTGGGAGTGGGAACAATATATTTCTTTTAATGAATAATTTAAAAATCCTGAAATATTTTTATAACAATTTTTTGAAAGTTTATTATTATTTTTAGTAATCTCTACACCCAACATGGGGCTTGAATCCATGACTCCAAGATCAAGAGTAGCATGCTCTTCTAACTGAGCCAGCCAGGCACCCCTAAACATTTTGGATTTATAAATACTTTTCACTCAAAATTCTTTATTAAAATCTCCCCATTCAGAAATTACTGATATTTTCAGTCTGTGGACTTCTGAAATATAAATAACATACATATAACATAATGTTTTGAATAAAAAGTTTTTTTTTAAAGATTTTATTTATTTGAGAGAGACAGATAGTGACAGAGATAGCGAGAGAGAGCACAAGTAGGGAGGAGAGAGAGAAGCAGGCTTCCCAGCTGAGCAGGGAGCCCGATGTAGGACTCGATCCCAGGACCCTGAGATCATGACTGGAGCTGAAGGCAGACGCTTAACCAACTGAGCCACCTAGGCGCCTGAATAAAAAGCTTTTATGTGGGACACCTGGGTGGCTCAGTCCGTTGGGCGTCTGCCTTCAGCTCCAGTCATGATCCCAGGGTCTTAGGATTGAGTCCCGCATCAGGCTCCCTGCTCGGTGGGTAGCCTGCTTTTCCCTCTGCCTGCCATTCCCCCTGCTTGTGCTCCTGACAGATAAATAGATAAAATACTTGAAAAAAAGCTTATATGTGTATATAAGCATTATAAAGATGTATGAGGCAATTACAGATGTTTGGTAGAGGCTAAAGTACAACTGCAAAGAGGAGAAAATGCAAAAGCTGACTCTGGATTAACTGGAGAAAGACTCATCTAACTTGTAATTAATTTTGTGTCCTTTTTTTGAATTTCTTTTTTTAAAGATTTTATTTGACAGAGAGAGAGAGCACAAGTAGGCAGAGCAGCAGGCAGAGGGAGAGGGAGAAGCAGGCTCTCCGCCGAGCAAGGAACCCAATGCGGGGATCGATCCCAGGACCCTGGGATCATGACCCGAGCCAAAGGCAGCCGCTTAACCGACTGAGCCACCCAGGTTCCCCGCTTCTCTTGAATTTCTAAAAATGAGTTTTGTCTCCTTTCACATGTGTAAACTGACAGTGCTCTCCAGCATCTCCAACAGAACAGAAGCAGTTCTCAGCAGGCTTGGGAAGCAGTATGTGAAGTCAAGCGTTGAATAGTTAAGACTGAGGTTTTAGACGATTTCTGATTTGTTTTATATAACATTTGTTTCTGCTCCATTTCCCTGGATAACCAACACTGAACTCCCATAAAGAACGAGGGATTAGCCCACTAAAAGTTCCTGGACAAAGCACAGAATAAGTTCTCTGAGGCTTAGTTTTCTCATCCACAAAATTAAAAGGTTAGTACATGCTCTGCCAGCTCAATGAATTCTCTCAAGAGGATTCTCAGGAGAATCAAACACAATAAAGGTAACTTGAAACATTCTGAATGCATGTTATTACCCTGCATAGCAATTAAGGGTGCTGAGTGGCCTCAGATCTGCATACTACTTAATGTGTGACCATGAGCAAGTTATTTAACTACCCTGTGTGTCAGTTTCTTCCTCTGTAAAGTGAATACAATAATAGCATCTACCTGAAAGGTTGCAAGGAGCACTGAATGAGTTAATATACCAAAGTGTTTAGTGTAGCTAAGTAAATGTTAACTATTATTAAACATTACTAACTCACAATATTATTCATAATCTTGAGGGCCCTGATTCTCTAAAAAAAAAAAAACAAAAAACCCTAACTTTAAGGAAAGTAATGTCATACCAGTATTATCCACAAACAGAAAGTAAATGCATTTTAGTTATCTATGCTATCTTTTTAAATTATCTTTTAAAATATATTTATTTAATTAAGTCTTTTAAGTTATCCTTTTAAGTGAATTATTCCATATAATGAATAAATTTCACATAAATGGTTTCCATATTTTCTACAATACCAGTCTAGATTCTTGACATGGCCTTCAAATATGTTCACCATTGGGGCACCTGGCTGGCTCAGTTGGTAGAACACCTGACTCTTGATCTTGGGGTTGTGGGTTTGAGCCCCATGTTGGATGTAGAGATTACTTAAAAAAATAAAATTAAAAAAAAAAAAACCCAGAAAACAAATATGTTCACCATCCTAATCTTCTAATTACTAATCAGACTCAACTGAAGTAACTTAAAAACTCATCACTTTGTGGGGCACCTGGAAGGCTCAGTCGGTTAAGTGCCTGCCTTTGGCTCGGGTCATGATCCCGGGGTCCTGGGATCGAGTCCCGTGTTGGGCTCCCTGCTCAGTGGAGAGCCTGCTTTTCCCTCTCCCTTTGCCCCTCCCACTGCTTGTTTTCTGTCAAATAAATAAAAATAAAATAAAAAATTAAAAAAATCAATTTGGCTCGTTAATTTTATTTGAAGATCTCTAAAACTGGAAATTCAGACAACCAAATAATCCCCCATTTGGTAGGTGCCTCTTTACTGAGCACCTGCTAAGTAGCCTTAGTTACTCAAAATTAGTGGTAAAACAATTCCTATTTATTGGGTACCTGAAAAGGCAATCAGATATGAAGATTAGAAAATGAGGACTCTGTCCTCAGGGAAATTTCAAAGTACAGGAGACTTAAAATTCATGCAAATAGAAAAAGAGTAATTTATATGAGTCAGTACAGAGTTAGGAAAAATTATACCGTACGATCTGTACATGCTACGGTGGTTTAAGGAGGGATCAAAGAGGGCTGGACTACTTAGGGCACATGGAAGGAGGTGTGGGGTCTTGGTAAACCCAGACACCTGGGAAGAAGAGGGCATCCCAGACTCAAGGTACAGAGATAGGAATAAGTTTGATGTGGTTCTGACACACGAGAAAGTCTGTTTGTTTGGGATAATAAATGCTGATGAGTGGTGGGAAAAGCTAGGTTAGAAAGATTATAATTACTTGGAAAATTCTCAGAACTGCCAAGTATTTTCACCTTCATGTGGCAGAAAAAAGAAAAAGGCACAGGATTGTTTTGAATAAAGAAGTGACCACAGCAGTTTATTCACCCCTATAATCAGGAAGCTCTTCAAGTCTATCAAAATTTGTTTTTACTGTAACGTAAGTTCATGTCTTGTTTTGGTCCTCTGCCGCAGGGAAAAAGGAACTGTGGTGGAGACTCACCATAATAAGCTTTCACACATACTAAGGTCTGTAATAATTCAGCTCTTAATATCATCTTCAGATAATATTACTTACCTGCTATTGCTTTATAGCCTGTACCTTCTGCTTTGGTTAGGTAAACACCCTTGCAGAATTCCCATTTTTATCCCTAATCCATCTACATACGAGTAAGTTACCTCTTTGTAACCACTTCTTGCAAAAATGCTTTTCATCTCTCCTGAAGAACACTCTGCTAGGGGTAGAGTGATTCTCAGAACTGCCTGTTAGCTACTCCCACTCCCACAGCACTGCTCCTCAAACCGCTACAGTCTTTCCTATACGCATTTTATGTATCTGTTAGTCTGTCTTACCCACCCAGGCAGTTGTAAGGTCTGTCCCACAGCAGCATGTATTTGCCTAATAGTCACCTTCACAGGGTCACTGCATCCTATCTGAGAGGTGAAGAGAAAATCTGGGCCCTAATTATATGAGTAAAGTTACTTTTCTTCCAAGCTCCTAACATTTCCTCTAAAACCTTATTAAAACCAGAATCTATCTTCTAATAGGTACCTTCCTTTTCTGGTACCCTGGCCTGATAACATACAAGTAAATACAGTTTCTAACAATGTCTTACCACTGTTACTATACTATGGACACAATAAACATCCAGTGGTTTACATAAAAACTAAGATACTATCATACAATGCAGAATCTAAAAACATTAGCTATCCAATCTTAATCCACCAGTGTTTCCTTTTAAAGGGCAAAAATATTTACAATTCATTGTGTTCTACTTGGTGAGTGCATAATCTTTTTAAAAATCAATCTTCAATGATACAGACTTATGAGAACAAACAAACAAAACTGTCAACTACTTACACTACTTGCTATGGAGAGTTGCAAAAAAGATGGAAAACATCATTCCTATCCTTTCTAGAACATTTTGGTCTAACAAAAGATTCCAGAAGAAAAAAAATGAAAAGATACCAGCATACAAAAAAAGCAATCACACACACAAAAATGCATATGCAATTTATTTACAAATATATGACACTATATAAATCAGTAATTATGTAGTGTTATACCCACCCAAGTACAAAATCAGACTCTCTCCATCCCAGGTTGTAAATTACCTGCATGTAGTTTTCAGGGGTTATTTGTATTATTCTCAGGAATACAGACTGGTTCCTATAATCAGGGAGGAGTTCCACAATCTCATCTTTTTCTACTTCCCAAACTCTGCTGACAACAAAACTGTATTTCCTGCATGCTCACAAGCCAGAATAAAGAAAAAAACGTAACCAAATAGAGTATTTATTTAACAGGGCCACTGTTACCTTTCCTACAACTTTTCTTTCTTATTCATTATATTCTGTTCACACACAGTGGCACTTTCTTCAACCACTGCAGCAATCCTAAATCCACTACATACCTGGGAGCTGGGCTGCTTAGGCTCATCCATTCTCCCAGGAGACTCACTTCTGGCTCTGTGTCTCTCCGTCAAGGGAACAACACTGCCGGAGGGGCTAAATCTGTTGGAAGAGGAGCAAAAAGGGGACTGATAGAAAAGTAGCGTCAAGGAACTTAAAAAATAGTGATGTCTACCCTTTTTATCCCATGGCTGAGGAAGGGGGATCAAACGGAAAAACAGATTACTAAGAAATACTTTTTATGGAGTCAATACAGGATCTGATCTAAGAAAGGTCTGCCTTAGTAAATCTAACAAACACAAAATGACATAGCAGATAGACCACATGGCCTGGTGAAACTAAGGCTAAATAGAAGCTTCTACCCTTAAGTTCTGGGAGACTATAGAAGCATAAATTAAAACTGGGTCTATGATTTTGTTTCTTCTATGTAACTATTAGGTTTGGGGTTGTTCCTCCCCCCAGTCCCCTTGGTAACTTATTACATATTTCAGACTGCTGATACCAATCATGGAGATTATAAATCTTTGCATCCAAAGCCATTACTTCTGATATAGTTCTAACACTGGACAACAGTGCTAACACAGGCGGCAGTAAGTACTGTGCACAAGGAGATTTTAACTGTGAAGGACACAAGAGACCACCTATAGTAAATACAGGATATACTCTCTGTGAAATACATGTCACTTTCAAGACCAGGTGTGAACCAAAGTAATAGCTTCTTTAGTTTTCATTGTTCATGCAGTCAATTTTAATTTATTTTCAAGAGTGGAAAAAAACAAATGTTACCAATCTACATTGGTAATATTTCTTTCTTTCACCTGAGACTTTATTTCAATTTACTTAGAATTATTGCTACTTCCACCAAAAAAAAAAGTTCTGCAATATATCAGACAAAGAAAAGTGAGGGGTAGGGCGTTAGCAGCACTGGTGGAAAAAAGAGACTCTCAGGCTTGTGGTGCCAGCAGTCATTGATGAGAGAAAACAGGGAAGATATTATCAAATGGCAAATGAGTTAAAAAAAAAAAAAGGGAAAAACATCCAAAAAGCTTTTCTTTGGAATTACTGTGATCACACTAAAAAGAACAATCACTGCTGGTACCATCCTTCCTCTAATTTGGTAGGTGGGGGCAAGGAAAAGTAAACAGTGCTACAAAGGAAAGTAAAAGTCCCCGAGGCCACCTACCTGTGTGATAACATACCAAGGAAGGGCAAAGATGCCAGGCTCCCAGCTGATGATCAGCTCCCTGCCTGGAAATCCGAGGAGGCCCTGGCAATTACTGATCCTAGTGTGGCTGCAGCCGCTATTCTGATTCATGGAAGTGTCTAACTTTACCATAGTTCTCACAACACTGTGAATACTTCACGACTAGGAGCTTCCTGCTTTAAAAAAAAGAATGCAAGTCTTTTGGCACACTTCCAGTTTCCCCAACACCAACTTATCTTGGCTAAGAACAGCCAGTAAGGAAGATGCGCTCTGTACCACACAGAGGGCCTGCTTCAGGGATGTCTGCTCAACAGCCATCAGATGACCAAGGAAAAACAAGCCTTACCTGTCAATTTCACTGCTTGTTGGCCGAGCCACCTTGGCTCCCGAAGATCCTAAAGGGTAATTTTCCTGTCCCACAGAACCATGGCCTGTGGTGTCAATCACCATGGCTGTGACTTCCTCGGCACTACTCCCATCTTCTCCGGAAGGCTGATTCTCAGGCCCGAGCCATTCCTCCAGATTCTCAGTTTTGATGTGCACTGCTCCAAGGACCCTGACTTCGTCATCACTGCGGGCCCCTCGGTCTGCTACTCCCGTCTCCACGTACCACTGTCCTGCTCGGTTGATTCGAAGGATGGGCTCCCGGCTCTCTACATCAGAACTCGGTTCAATTATCTGAGGGCTGGTGGACTCCTCCGGAGGACTGAGCTCCCTGATATCCAACACAGCGCTAACTTGACCTCGCCGGTTTCCCTTTGCGGTATTGGGCCGCGGGCTAAGGGAACGGTTTAGAGTTGGTGTAACCCTGTGAGATTCTGGAGGTCTTTCTGGATGCTTTGTCCTCGTCTGACTTAATTCGGCTTCAACCTCTGCCACATTGATTTTGAAATGAATGCCCTCCAGGATCTGGGTACATTTGTCGATGATATGCTGCATCTGCAGGAAACTGGCGGCCGTCAGGTAGCTGATGATATCTGCCAGCTGCAGGCATATCCGCCCCGTGTAACAGAAGGAGAGGAGCTGTTCAAAAACACTAGGGTTCTTGATGACTGAAATGGAGACAGTACTCATCTCGTTTAAGGACATGTGATCCCGGAAATAGGGCGAGCTGGCAGCCAATACCACTTTGTGTGCCCGAAAAGCTTGTCCTTGCACATTGACCACAATATCACAGAGGCGCCCCTGCATGCGCAGCTGGTTTAGATGGCTCAGGACAGAGTTGCTGAAGTCCGGGATCTCCAGTTGTATGTTCCCACCTTTCTCCATGGTTGTGCCTGAGGCTGTAGGCAGGCATTCAACCCTGTGGAAAGAGGAACCATGTTCAGCAATAGTTAGAATGTCACTCCTCTCATGCTTTCCAATTCAAATCTACTGACGAATAGTTTTTGGTAAAATTTCAAAATCGCCAAGTAAAAAGATAACTTTCCTCACGTTTAAATATGCAAAAGAAGTACCAACAGGTTTTTCAGGTCACGTTTCCCAGAAGATACCCTTAAGACCGAAATGTGATTGCTACACTTCTGTACACTCGAGCTACGTCCATACGTCCCTTACTAATAAGCTATGCAACATCAAAACAGAAGTTCAACAGAATAGAAGGGGCAAAGCAGTTGTGATAGTTTTTTTTTTTTGTTCTTTAGTCATAAAGTATTTGCACACTGAATATAAAAATCCTCTGACAACTTTTCTTTGGAGAAGAAAGTAAGCTCTTTGAATAAATGTAATTACACACCAACGGGTCGATTAGGTATCCATCCCTCTTGTTAATACTTTACTACATTATGCGTGAGTTAGGTTTATTATTTAAAAGGTGACTAATAGCCCACATGAATGCAAGCCATTATTTCCAATTAAGAGTCAAAGCCCCCACCAAAAGGCTTTGGGTTAAGGACTCTGAAACAAACTCTAGGTTAGGAAACATGCCACAGCCGTGTCAGAACTCAGTGAGGATGCAGAAAACTTGAAATTCACTCTCAGAATTAGGACAGACTAGGTAAACCTTCTATCTAAATTCAAAGTCGGGAATTTCAGGGTGGTGATGATACTGACACTGAAATTTCATTCCCCAAAACTGGTTAAAAAAATAGAGTATTTACCAAGTATGGCCAAAATTTTGACATTAAAAGATTAAAAAAAAAATAGCTGAAACACTATGCCGGTAACTGCACCCAATAGCCTTCAATGGTTGAGAGTAATTTGTATAAATCTCAACAGGAAGACACTGACTTGAACCCAATGTTTCCATTTATCTGAAACTTTATAAGACATTACATAGTTATCTAAGACCTAAAATTTCAGGAACTTATCCTGACAAGCTCACAGTATTGCCCTGCATTTACAACACACTTATCAGTAAATAGGGAAGTGTATACACTGCTTTCAAGAACCAACTTTAGCCAATCTGACCTTTTTCCAAAGCGTTTTTGTCTGTTTTGAAACTTTTAATCCAATAAGAGCCTCTGTCGATGCCATCATGAATTCAGATGTGTTTATTTTGGAGCCTACACCAGCGCCTTTTTTGTTTGCTCTTTCCGGCAATTCCCCAGTGAGGAGGAAGCCCCTGGAGTAAGGTCTTTACCGTCGGCACTGGAAGGGTGAGAGCTGTAAGAGGGAGAATCGGGAACGCCATGGAGTTGGCCACTCCGGTATTTCAAGGGCTTAAGTCTGCGTTAGGAAGCGTGGGTAGCGGGGAACTGGCAGAAGGGCGAAATGTCACCGAGGAGCGGGGGAGGAGAGGGGTGCAAGGCGTGAGGCTGGGGAGCTAGCCATCAGGTGAGGGCAGAGCACCCGGAAGGGGGCGGCGCCCCGGGACCCTGTCCAGACGGTAAGCGTAGGCGGGCGGGGAGCTGCCCAGAGGTGGGTGTGTGTATCTGGGTGTGTCCGGGCTGCGGTGGGGGAGGGGGCCGCCCATCCCGGGGTCCTGAGGGAGGGGCCCGGCGAGGGGGCGGGTCCGGCAGCTCAGCCCGGCCCGGGGCCAAGGGGGTGGAAGGTCTCCGGTGCCTTGAGGGTAGGGTGAAGGGGAGTGGCTGAGCGCCCCAGGAGCAGGCTGCGGCGGAGCCCGGACAAGGCGGCCCCGGTGCAGGGCAGCGGGACCGGAGTGCGGGGCCCGAGCCCAGTCAAGGAGCAGCACCTACCTCCGGGGGTGGAAATGGGCCGGAATGGGCCGGAACACCGTCCCGGAAGTGAAACCCACCACCCCCTCCCCCGGAGCGGGCGACGTGCCGGAAGGAAATCACTCACCCTTACACCGCCCCCCTCCCCCTCCCCCAGCGCTTTCCGTCCCTCGCGCCCCCTCCCCTCTCTTCCTTCTCAGTCGGTCGGAGGGCGGGAGCCCTGAGTCACGCGGGCGGTCGTGTCTCCGCCCACAACGGCGAGGTGGGGCGGGGCCAAGAGGAAGGAGGTGTGGCTAGAGGAGGAGGAAGAGATGAAGGGAGGAGAGGGGGAGGAGCTGAAGCCGGCGCTGGCGGGGAGGATGCGTCATGACGTCATAAAAACCTCCATCCTTATATACTCGCGCTGGCGGCCATCTCGGTCTTTCGAGGCTAGGGGTCGGCGTTCCGTATGTAAGTTTTCCTTTTGCTTAGTGGCTTCTTGGCGCGAGGCTGCCAACTCTTGGCAATTAAAGTCACCTTATACATGTATTTCTAGGCTGGTAGTGAGCCTTTGCAGGCTTCACAAAATGAAGATGGTAGATGATTACGCGTAGGGTGCGGCCTAAACTACTTGGGTTGTGGGGGCTGAACTGCGAAAAATCCCTGGGCTCGCGTTCCCTGCCTGTGATGAAGCTTGCGTTGGTAGGGACATCTGAGACTGTTGATGAATGCCAACGGCTCTGATGGCGGCGCGTGCAGATCACCCAGGTGGACCTTTGTTAATGACCTCGGCCCGGGCCTCCTGCGGCCTCTTGCTGCTCCGGGAGGCCGGCGGTTGGGGTGGGTAGTCCACGTGGTTCTCTCAATGGCTGCATCCTGCAATGCACCAATGGTCAGTGGTGCCCAACTTTTGTGCAATGCGCTTTCTCTAACCTGTGAAGTGCACCGTTTATAGTCATGAAGTAACGGGTGGTGTAGACGACCTGGTATAGATGATAGGAAAACGACATGCTTAGACTTAGTTTAAAGCAAAATGGTATTCTAAAAATCGTCATCTTTTCTGTAGGAATTGTGCTGGGCACGAATGCAGTGTGGCTTTTGATGGCTTCTGATGGACAGGTAAGAAAGGGGTAAATCCAGTGGTGGGAATCAGATCTGGTTGGAGGTGGTCTTTTTGTAAAGCCTGTGATGGTTTAAGAGTAGTGGACAGAAGGGATTTCTGAAAAATCCTACTCTGAGGCTTAAGTAGTTAGAACGTTGATAATTGACTTGGCTGCTCGGTGTGTTTCATTGGATATTCCTTGTCTGTTTTCTAGTTCTGTGCCAAAGGGGTGGAAGTGGCTGCCAAGGTAAGTTACTGCAATTCTCACAAAAGGGAGGTTAGGTTGAAAGTGCTACAATGATGACATTTTATTTGCTACTCTTGACTGTGAGAATGACGAGAGTTATTACCACCGTTATACTAACTGAGGCACATAAAATGGTGATTTAAAAAATTCAGAGATTGCTACCAAGTTTACATGAAGCTGTTTCTTCCTAGGTCCTAAGTTTCACACCCTCGCCATGGGCAAAGAGGTGAGAAACCTTGTATTATGTAGTCCATATTACTCGGTTTTTTTTTTTTTTTAACACAAATGTGAATTTCTGTACTCCGGTATCTTCTGTTAAATGCTTGGGGAACCTGAAAAACATACTATGATGGTTGCATAGTTCAGCAGATTGGATCATTTAAGAGAGACACCATTTGATGTATCTGCATTGATCGTAAAACTGGCTTGGTACAAATAGCATAAGGAAAATGTCACTAACTTAATTTCTTTTTTTTTTTAAACTTTTTTTTTAAAGATTTATTTATTTGAGAGAGAGAGAATGAGAGGGAGAGAGAGTACATGAGAGGGGGGAGGGTCAGAGAGAGAAGCAGGCTCCTTGCTGAGCAGGGAGCCTAATGTGGGACTCGATCCCGGGACTCCGGGATCATGACCTGAGCTGAAGGCAGTCGCTTAACCGAGTCACCCAGGCACCCTTAATTTTTTTCTTGTAGGCACTAAACAGGAGTAACTGGAAGTTGAAGGGGTGAGTAAAGTTAATTGAACTAAAACATTGGTAACTGGGCAAACATGACAAAGAATGCCACTAATGGCTTTTCATAGTTGCCTTATGCACAGAAACCACTCCTCCCATGAAATGCTAGAGTGCATTGCTGAAGGCATTAAATTAATGGCCAGATCCTTGTCCTGTTACCATTAGTTAGGACCCTGTCATTTGTAAAAAAAAAAAACCAGCCTGGATGATGATAAGCAAATACTGACTGAACGTGAAGGTCTTAATTAGCTCTACCTGATTTCCGGGCATTTTTTAAATTTGTGGGAGAGAAAATTCATCTTTGGTGTCTTGTTAACTATCTTTATTTCTTAGGTGGACTTGAGTCTTAACACATGTCTGGACCGACCGTATTTGGGGTAAGTATCAAACATTTTAGTAGGTCCAAAACTTACTGTGAATGTGGAAGTAGAACGCTTAACTACCAAGTTACTAGTTTTCTATGGCTGGTTAGTGAACGCATGTTGAGCGTACTCTGAATGGGGTTTTTGAAATGATGTTGATCAAATGTCTGACCTGAAATGAGCATGTAGACAAATTTAACACTGAAGAACCCTGTGACAGTGATAATTGTTAGTCCAATTAATTCAGTGATAATTAACATTTTAATGAAATGTCTTGTTTGTTTTCTAGCTTACAGGCCACTATCACGGATGGCTTGCTTGGGGTAAGACAAAAACAGTTCATTTTCTGAAGTCAAGTCTGTTTCTGGAATACACTGTTAAGTGCTTTCTGGTGTTGCAGGGAGGATTTGGCTGTTGTGATGTGTCTCTAAAGCAGTATCTTTTTGTTAGGTACTGAGTTTGAAGACATTTTCATATAAAGGTATGTATTCTATTAATCTTACTTGGTTACTAAGCAAGATGCTGTTAGTGATGATTTTTGAAATTAAAAACAGATGGGAATCTCTCTGAAAAAAAGTGAAGATTTTTAAAAACTGAAACAGTATCAGGAAAACTTCAGAAACCTACTTGTTATTACTTACTACTAAATTTGACTAAATTTCTGCAGGTGTGAAGAGTTTGGGGCACCTTACAAAGCCTGGAACAAGGAGTTTTAAGCTAAGGTACAGAAATTTCAAGTTTGATTTCTGTTATAAAGTGGTTGAAAGCCGGTACAATGATGAAACCATAGTTCAGCAGACTAGCAGTGATGAGCAAAATGTCTTTCGCTCCTATCTGATGTATCTGGCTGCAGCAATCCTATCCATAACCCTTGAAAAGGAAAATTAGCCATTCTACCACAGAAAATGTTCAGGGTTTGAATACTATAGTGGCTCATACACAAATAGTTCTAAGGACTCATAACTTGAGAAATACAGGCTGATACATTTTTGCCAGGAAATTATGGCATGTAAATCTGAATAGATTATGCCAGAGTGAGTTACTTAGTTTTAATAAACTCCCCATTTCCAGAGCCGTTTCAGTATAACCAGCAAAACTGAACATAGACTTTCTGTATATCCTGTCTTCACACACCTCGCTATCCACATTCAACATTAGAGTGAGACTTGTTACAATCACGAATCTATAATAGGTCATTATCAAGTCCAGAGTTTACATTAGGATTCACTCGTGGTATTACATGATGTATGGGCTTGGGTAATAGTGTATGACACCTACACAACTGTCATTTGGAATAGGTTTGCTGCCCTAAATGTTACTTCTCAAAGTGAAAAATGGGGAAAATGAAGGACATTCTAAATGAAGGGCTTTATTTCTCCCATATTCAAACAGGCCGACTTGCCAACCTGAAGATTTAGAGGTAAGTTGGTCTCTGATCTAGATGATAAGTTAGAATGTAACCAGTGATGTAGTGATTCTGCCAAATGAAATAGAATGATATCACTCTTAAAACCGTTCCATTTTGATTCTGAGGTTACTTTATTAGCAACCATCATATAAGGGTTTTTTTTTTTACCATGATTAACTAACTTGGAGTTGTTGCTTTTAGGGTGTTTATGAGAGCAGCAATCCAGTTATGAGAGCAGCTTACCAGTTGAAAGGTGAGGCCTGAAGATATCAGTACTGTTGTCTTATTCCAGAATACATGATGATCTCACTCCAACTTGAACTCTCTCACTGATCACTTGATGATTATAAAAGATCTGATATTCTATGTACTCAATACCATTAGAATTGAAACACAGAAATGGGACTAAAAACAGCTTCTTTGTCCTTGCAGGCACCTGAATGGATGCTTATGTGATGTGATAGAAGATCAAATTTCCAATTTCAATAAATTTTTATAAACCATCTGATCAAGAGTGCTTCTTTCAATTTAATGGTATGAAGGAAGGGAAGTAGGACATCTTTGTAGTTTGAGACCCTGTGACATTAGTTTCATTAGTTGACCTTTTCATGTGTATTTTATAGGATGTCTTGGGCTTGAAAATAATTTGCAGAGGAATATACTATAGCCCTTTTGTTTAAAATCCTGTATTTGTATTAACTTAGAAGAGTGACATGATCTGGGATGAGCTGCATATTTTGTAGAAATTTTCTAGGGCTGAATGAAATCCCTCAAAAATATTTGCTATTAAGCACCATGGTTTCTTAGAAGTGTTGATAGATGATAAAAGGAAGTAACTTGGTATCTCCCTCCCCCCACCGTACAAATTGAAAGAAAGCCTAAAAATCTAATAGATTTTAAGACGGGTCAGTACTGTGGTTATACCAATCCTTTAGAAAATAGGTATAATTAGTAGTAGTGCTAATTTTGTAAGTGAAAATTGGGATTTTGGTCATTACTGAATAATCGTAAACTAGTGGGTTGCCAGCCAATTACTCCCTAAATTCCTAAAGAGACTGCTTTGGCTTCTGGCAACATAAAAGCCTTAGGTATTCCAAATCTGCACATTTAGTACTTGAAGTGTGGGGGTGACAGACATTTGGGTTGCAATTTATCCTCCGACTTAACCTACTTGAGACAGTTTTAAGATGGATACTGCAAATCTGGATACAATGTGACTCGAAATAAACACGAGTCTGATTGTGAGCTTTTGATGGCTTTCAAAGTATCAGAAAACTTACCCCAGCCACATTGACATCCACACTTGTACCGGAAAGTATGAATTTATTGCTGATGGGATTAGCTCAATCTCTGAGAAATTGTGACTAGGTGTCCAAAGGTCAACAATAAAATTAGGCAGCAATCTATCATGATGGTCTATGGCTTGGAAGACAGCCATTAAGGTGAATTCATGGCTGGCTGAAAACTTCATGAAGACTAATGGTAATAAATTACAAGGGACATCTCTAGTATACCAGAAACACCAATCGCATCTTATTTAATAAAAACAATGAGGGAAGCAGTTTTTGAATGCCTACTATATGCTAAGTTTTATTTAATCCTTAAAACAGCAAGTGAGGAATTTCCTCCATTTTACAGATAAAACCACCTCAGGATAAAGTTGCCAGAGGCTACACAGCAGTTGTCAGAATATACTACAATGTAGCATTGTAATGGGCAGAATTAGTACACTGAAGGATCAATCGCTTAGGGGGCTCGAAGGAGGGCCAAAACCACTAGACGAAACACTTACAGGCAGGAGTATTAAAGGTCTTGCCATTTGGTCGGAAAACTCCCAGTGTATACCTAGAATCGGTAAAGTTGGCTTGACAGAAGATTGGGGAAGACTTGGGAGGCTTTATGGGACAAAGGGTTATCCAAAATGACTGGGTTTATTTTAAAAAATGAAAACCCTGATGTGACTTTAGCCTCTGGCACTGGGTGGGAGCTTGGACTCAAGTTCGAGGTACCCTCCAATCCCTGGAACACGTAATCCTTTTAACTTGTCACCTACCGCTTACAGAGGGAGGTGAGGGATGGGTGTGTAGGGTACTGTTGAGTCATCGGTAACTCCACTTTGAATAACTCCCACATTTATACTTACAATATTTGATTTCACCCCCTGGAAAATTAATACCCATTACTAAGAGCCCATGTAAATTATTTTCATTGAACAAAATGGAAATAGCCTGTTAGTTGACCCCACGCTACCAGAAGGCCAACAAATGGCTTTGGAGGCCACTATAAGGACTCTGGCTTTTCTCTGAGATGGGAAACCACTGAAGGGTTTTGAGCAGAGGAGTGATCTGATCTGACCCTTACTGACTGCTGAGGGGTAAGGATGCAAGCAAGATTGTTAGGAAGCTTTTGCTGTGGAAGATGGTCACCTGAACCAGGGTGGTGGCTGGAGGTAAGAAAAAGTATCAGATGCTGGGTATATTTTGAAGGTAGAGCTGACAGACCTTTGAGACAAGTTTCTGCAGACTCACGCTGTTGTTCTGACCATAAAACCGAGGACTATTACGTGTTTACAAGATGACTCGAATGTCTGGGAAAAAGAATGTTATGTAATAATAAAGCTACCTTTATGTGGCACTTAACAATCAGGGACATATGTCAGGAAATCTACGAGGCACTTTTTTTTTTTTTAAAGATTTTGTCAGGGCACATGCAAGAGCACAAGCAGGGGAAGCAGCAGGCAGAGGGAGAGGCAGACTCCCCACTGAGCAAGGAGCCTGATGTGGGGCTTGATCCCCGGACCCTGGGATCACGACCCAAGCTGAAGGCACTCAACCGACTGAGCCACCCAGACGCCCCTATATATAATGCTCTCAATTCCCCCTCCAAATTTGCCTAGCTATTTTTATCATTTCTTATACCCCACTCATTTAATTCCCTCCTTTATTTCTATAAATATGTTTTGTTGTCAGGTTCCGATAGTTCTAATACATTAAATATTTGCAAATCTGATTCTGTTTGCTGATAATGTCTCATTAGTAGCTTGTTTCCTTGGGTGTTTTGTGATTAAAAAAAAATCGTGAGATTATGTGCCTTGGAACTTTATCTTCTGCAATTCTTTGAGAACTGGGTTTAAGTTGTTTTATTTTGCATTTGCTTTTATCAACCTAGGAACACTATGAATCTCAGCTTGTAAAGTGTTCAAACCTCCGTTAAGTGTCAGCTTGTGGTTAATGCTCAGAGCAGATCCCCAGAGCCAATGCAAACACAGGCAAGTTTATCATCACCCTCTACCAAGGGGGTCTCCTTTCAGAAGCTTGTTTTACATGGGGATCTCTTATCTAACTTCTCCACTTATGCAGGAGGCAGTAGGCTTTGTTTGCCTGTTTCCCCTTAATAATCCATCAAAAACCAAAGTCCTGAGTCACACCAGATCAGCACTACCCCAGGGTATCAATAGCTTAAGCACCTAATTACGTCAGTGTCGGGGGCATTTCTGGTCTCTAAGGAGCTCCCTTTCTTACTGGTTCATTTATGCATTTAAAATGAGTCAAAGAGGGGCGCCTGGGTGGCTCAGTGGGTTAAGCGTCCAACTCTTGATTTCAGCTCAGGTCATGATCTCAGGGTCATTAGATCAAGCCCCATGTCAGGCTCCACACTCAGTGCAGAGTCTGCTTGAGATTCTCTCTCTCCCTCTGCCCCGCCCCCCCTTTCTTTAAATAAAATCTTAAAAAAAAATACAAAGATTCAAAGAAATTTGTTTAGGAATTTTAGGTGTTCTGTACAAAAAAGATTTTCTAGGATAGTTACTCTATCATATTGCTAAAGTGAAGTCCTAAGCTAACACTTCAAATATTCAATGATATTATATGAACAGTAGTTGTGTGTGCCAAAACAGATTCATTTACTTAACTCCCACTGCCCGAAATAGTGAGTATTCTAAAAACTGCCCGAAAAAATCTAGTTTTCTGAATTTTTATATACCTCTTTATATATAAAATTTATATATATTCTTTATACATATTTTTGTTCCCTTTTATATAAAAGTGCCATTTTCTGAATCAAAACCTTTTGAGAAGCATAAAGATTATAAATTTTTATAAATTGTTCATTTTGGAACTTTCGTTATTGAATCTTGACCTTGAGTGCATGTCATTTAAATATTTTGACAAAAGAGCAAGTACACGTGAAGCACTTCTGCCACATAACAATGTATGGTTTTTTTCTAGAAAAATCAGGTGCAGTGCTTTTTTAAAGACATCTGAATCTTTGTTTTTATTTTTTTAAAAGATTTTATTTATTTATTTGACAGAGAGCGAGAAAGCACAAGCGGGGGGAGGACCAAGGGGAGAGGGAGAAGCAAGCTCCCCACGGAGCAGGGAGCCCGATGCAGGACTTAATCCCAGGACCCCGGGATCATGACCTGAGCCGAAGGCAGGCC